AAAGGTGGGTGAGTAATTTTTTTTCTTATATTTTTATCTCGTAGGGTGGTAAATCAGTCAGATATTCATGAAATTTATGGAAAATAAGTTTTTCAATGATAGCTGGAACTGATGAAAGTTAAAATGTATAAGAAGAAAATAAAAAAAACGAAAAGGTAGATACAAAGTATACTTAAGATAATATAGAAAAAGTATTCAATGTTGAGATCTTGGAGAGAAGAAAAAAAATACCAGAAAAAGAACCAAAAAAATTCGATAAGAAAAACTTTTTGGAAAGTTAATTTCATATTTAAGTAATAATTTTTCTGCTAACTTATATAAAATCGAAAAAGAATTTCCATTTCAATAATTTGACAGCCATTTGAAAAGAATTTGACTTTTGATAATTTTATATAAGAAAGTAAAGTAACTTCAACATTTGCGCTCATTGAATATGAATAAAAATTTATGAAACATTTATTTGAAATATGAATGAGGAGGAGGAAAGGTAGGTACTCTATAAGTTGAAAAAAAAGTTATTTTTACCAATTTTTTTGTATTTTCAAATATTTTTTTTTCTGTTTTCAGAAAATCATGTTTGTGTAAAATGAAATAGGTTCCTATATAAAGGTATCTGTACATTTTCTTATAATATTTTACTATGCGCCATTTAGTTTTGAACTCTTGCTGTTATATTAAATGTTTTAAATTATGATTTTTAATGAACCAAATATGAAATGAGAAAAGAATTTCAATAAAATAAAGTTGGGTCAAACCAATGGTTTGTATTGTAGCACTTTTCCCTTCAGCAAGTGAAAATTCTGCTTTTAAATACAGTCTATGTATACCTATCAAACTATTAAAATTATTTTCATTCATATACAAAACTATTTCTAGAATTGCATATATTTAGGATGACGCATATATGCAGTGTTTGAAATAAAGCAAAAATTAATATAAAAAGGGGTTAACATAATGCTCGATTTTAAGGTTTAATTATGTGAGTTAAGAAAAATAATTATATTTTTTAATTTCATGGAATTTACCGTTAGCTTTTTATGTTTATAGAAATTTGAAAAAGCTTGCGGTTTCGGAAATATAAGGTGTCAAAAATTCAAATTTTACAAATTTCAAGAGGCCATAACTTGAGAGGGGAAGGAGATGGAAAAAAATTTTCTTCTAACGAAATGAACTATTTGTTAGTGTCTAAAAGCCCATAAAATTTCAAGCTTCTACAGGCTGGGGTCTAGAAAATAAACGACATCAAAAATTTGGAAAAAACGGACTTTAGATAACGGTAAATTTGAGCGGCCATTTTGTTTTTCTAAAGTTAACCTTTAGTATACCCCGCTAGGGGAAGTAAGCCACTGCCTTTCTGCGTTTGCAAAATTTGAAAAATCCTTATGGTTTCATTGCACTAAATAGTTAAAGAATGGCATTTTTAGGGTTTTGGGGGGGTATAATTTCTAAAGGGGGGGAGATAGGTAAAAACTTTGTTCCACGAAAATAAGTTTCTAGTAAAAATCTATGTACGTACAAAATTTCAGCTTTCTATCTTCAAGGGTGTAGAAGTTTTGTAAACAGACACACGGACGGACGGACGGACGGACAGAGTGAAACTAATAAGCACTTTTTTTTCAAAAATTTTTTGGAAAAGTGCTAAAAATGTGAAACGAATGTCGGCTGGCTCACAATTTTCAAGCTGATTTTCTTTGGAATACCCAAAAACTGCTAAATTTTTGATTTGTGTAAAAATTTTTCACTGTGAATCAAATTATAAAATAAAATAAAAATTTTCTTAAACTTTTCAGAAACAATAGGAATAGAAAAGCGATTTTCACGTTAGTTTTTAAAATACTGGATTTACAAAATTTCTTGTTCACTGCAATTCAAACTATGCAAGACTAGGTTTAGATATTTCTACACAGCAGCGGATCTTTCATATATGCAAAGTAACCATTTGCAATGAGAGCCAGAATACCGTGGAGCCATTGTAAACTTAAAAAAAAAAACTTTTTTTTTCTGTTTCAAGTCAGAGTCGGGCCTGTTTATACAAACAATATGAATATTACATATACGATTTTTAATGAATGAATAACATGTAGGAGACCCAAATAAAAATAAGTTTACGATTTAATTAAAAATGTCAATAAATAGTTCTGAATGTTAAATTTATATAACAAGAACATGTATTGTATATAATCTTTGAAGAAATTGTAATATGAAATAATTCCTTTTTTCTTGCTATAATTTTTATATTTGTCATTAAAATTGGGAGTCATAAAATCGTTGATTTACTAAAAGTGCTTGTAATTATTCAAATTTGCGATAAAAATTCGAAAATTACCTTGCGAATTTAGATGACAAAAAATTCGAACTTTTTCTTAAAGACAGTTTAAGTTCAATGGAATTCTCAATTAAATGAAGCAAAAATTTATTGAACTTACAATTTATGTTTTAGTTTTGCAATGTTATAAAAATTTATTATGATTACCAATTGAACGAGCACATAATTTTCTAATTAAAATATAAGAGAATTTTGTTAATTTTTGATAATTTAGTTCTGTAAATAAATAATAAATTATAAAGTTGGTATTCTTCGTTATATTCTTCTACGTCCAAGCTGAACTCTTTAATATATATGTTGAGTTTCGATATCCACGCCATATTTTTATTCAAAGGTGTATTGGTATATCAATTACCGAATTTTATAAAATTTTATATAATTGATGCACAAACATATAAATTTAAGTTTTATTAAGTTTTTTGGAGTAATTTATATTTAAAATGTAATAAATAGACTCCTTTGATGAAACAATACTACCGTTCTAAAAATTCATAGAATACGGACCGGTCCGTAAAATAATTACAAAAACATCCTTTTTTGGGTTACGTAAAACGCATAAAATTGATATGTAAACAAATACTTTTAATTGTTTACGACGTACTTTTTCAATACGTCTGCAATTTTAACGGGGTTTAGGCTATTTATATAGCATGTATATATGTATATAGCCTATTGTAGGTTTTTAATATAAAACAAGAAAATATATTAAAAATTTTTATTTCGTACACATGCAATAAGTTCTTTTTTGGAATAAAATTTGTAATAAATAATTTACACAAGATATAAAAAAAATAAAATTCGTAACAATTTCTTATCCTTTTTTGTGATTTTATGACGGTATATTGGATTAGATTTTAGATCTAGGCTCTTAAAGGTCTTCAGATTTCAGATTAGATTTCAGATCTAGGCTCTTTAGATCTTCAGATCTATTCTTTTATGCATAAGTATGCAGCATAAATTTACATTTTCTACAAAACGTAAAAAACTTTATGCATTCTAAAAAAATTTTAAAAAGCTCATGTTTAAGATTTTTTGGGATATTTCACATTTTCATGAAAATTGTGGACTTCTTTACGTTTTTGTGAAAGACAAGAAGTTTTTGACTTTTTTACGGAAGAAATTAATCTTTTACATATAGTGTAGTATTTTTTGTATATGGATGACAAAATTTAGATTTCTTTGCGCTTGAAAAACACTCAGATTCTAACATTTTTGTGTAAAAAAAGAGCAGCAAGAGCATTTTTCAGTTTTGTGTGAAAAATAATAAGAGTGTTTACGTTTTACAATAAGCGTAAGAATTTTTTTATCTTTCCACATAATCTAGATAAAAACACTGAATTTCTTAAATTTTTATAGAGAAATAAGGAGTTTTTGAAGTTTTTTTGTACGGTAGCAAAAAAATTTTCTTATGATATGAAAAAAGAGCATTAAAACTGGTGCTATAAAGTTGGTCAAAACTTGCACATTTTTGTCTCGCTTTATTTCACAATTTAAGTAGTAATTAAAATCATTAATGTTTATTGTTAGTAAAAACATTTTGTGTACAGGAGGGATTAAATTATTTTTTTTATGTGTCAGATTTAATAATAATTTCAATATCAAATATTTACAGTTTGAAAATAAAACTCATTCATAATTATTTGGAGAAATTTCTACAATGACTAACAATGGCGCTTGTAAGAATAATACAGACCGGTACATTTTAAGTTTAAACTAAAAAAATATTAACAATGAAAATTTTATTTCTTTAAATTTCAATAATTAAAGAATTGTGTTACCTATTTAAAAAAATACGGTGAAGCTTAATAAAAAAGTATGAAAAAGAGAAGTAATCAAAAAAATTTTTCATTTTGAAATTTCAGTAATATGGTTAAAAAGAATAAAATTATTAAAATGTTATTAAAATATAGACTAATAGGTTAAATTAAAAAATTGTAGTAAAATCAATAAGCACAAATTTAAAAGCAACAAAATCGTTTTGTAACCGTAAAAAGTGGCGCTTTAAAGTTTTTGAATCACCACGTGCTTACCATTTATAAAAAAAATATGAGTAATAATATTTAAAATGAAAATTTCCTAATAAGGGAACAAATGATTTATTTATGGGAAATTTCAACTTTTTTAAGTTTATGAACTGTTATACTTATTAGAGATTTTCAAATTTTTATTATAATTTTATGGATTACTTCATCTTTCATTAAAAATAAATTTATAACTTGGATGAAATTGATTTTGATTTTAGGTTTTGATGGTAGAAATGAAAATAAATTTTGAATATTAATTAAATATTGTAACTCTCGAATTTGTGAACGGTCGGTTTCGAATTTTGAAACGATTAAATGCGATAGTATTATGCCAACTATACATGTATGTTTACAATACTTTAACTTGTAATTATAAATAAACGAAATTTATTGGAATAATTTTTAAAAATTTTGACTTGGCAGTATTACCCTGGTTTAAAAGTTCCATTAAGTATGGGACACCCTGAATACAAGTACATTAGTAAAATGTTATGATGTTATAAATTTCTAATCTACATACATACATATGTATTGCGTGTCGAACGAAAAGTTTTTCATAAGTTGATTCATAAATTTTATAATAATATTGATTTTAATAAATATCTTTAGAAAGGTGTTAGAATGTAATATAAACATTTTTTTTTTCTTACCTGTTCGACCCACAGATTCGTTGTCATAATCTGATTTTTTAGATTCTGCAAAAGATAAGAAACAAGAATAAAAAAATTTTAAATTAATTGCGTTTTGCATATTCTTGAATAAAATTAGAAAAAAATTTTTTTCTTAAAAATTTTTATTACTCGTATATAAAAATAACACAGAATTTTCACGGAAATAAAGTTTTGCGTGACTAATTAGAGTAAGGACATTTTATTGCTTTTCCATCAAAATTCTTCAAAATATAAATTGCATCGCACCAAATTAAAATGTGTTTATAGGTACGTATATACGGAAAAATTAAATTTTAACCTCATAACAAATTATTGTAAAGAAACATAAAAATTTTTGAAAATTTAACTTTATATTTTGCCTCAAGTATTTTTCACTTCATACGTTTCGCACCATCTTTTAATACTTACATATTTGTGGACTTGTGTATGTGTTCATGTGCGAAAGATAAAGTTTTAATTGCGTTTACCAAAAGTATATATAAAGAGAGAGACACAGAGAAAGAAATAGACGAAAAAAATGTCATGATCTTGCAATTCCCTTGAAGTTTATCTAAAAATGAAAATATTAAGAGCAGCACCTTGGTTTACTGCAAAATTTTAATTTATAGATATATTTTTTTTAAAGATAGCTGTGCGGAGTATTTTATAAGATATCTATCTGTTAGGTATAAGAATAATATGTTTACATATGGTATGTATGCATAAATATGGTGGTGATTAGGTTTTTTCAAACACTATATTCATTGCATTAAGGTTGGGTTTTCAAGATATTTTGTTCACGAGTTCTGTTGTATTATGTAAATGCGTTGTGTATGGGGTAGAGAAATAACTTCAACATGAAAAATATTGGCATCTTATTTTATTTATAAAATTGATATTACTTTAAAGAGGAAAAAACTTTTAGAATTATTAAATTACAAATGAAAATTATTATTAAATAAGTTTGACGAATTTATTTTGAGAGAAAATTTGTGTATAATAGTATTTATGATTTACTTTCATATTCATTTTATGATTTTTAATTTAATTTAATAATTAAGTTTTTTAATAATTGAGTTTATTATTAATATAAGGATATTATGATTTTTCAAATGCCATAAAAATATCTTCGAAGGCAAACTTTTATAACAACTTATACAGCCGCAGTTAAATTTTATTGAAATATTGTTCTTATAGCTAAACTAATTTTTAACAAACCAACTGATTTGTAAATTGTAAGAATTTTAACTTTTTAATATTTTTTATTTTTATTAGATTTTAATATTTTTTGAATGTTCCATTTGAATATAGATTTGTGCGTGTATGATGTGAAAATCTGTTTTAGCATTTAGGGGAATTCGATCAATTGGTAGAAACTCTTAAAAAGTTTCTGCTTCCTTTCAAAACTCAAAAAATCAGTTCTTTGTAAAGAGGTAAATTGTTGTGTTTCGAAATGTTTTGCTTTAAGAATATTTCTTTAAATGCCTCAGTTCTGGCTTATTTCAAATATTATTATATTTCACCATATTTACCACATTTAAAATTACTCGCTTTAGAAGTATGTGATTGATCTATATAACAAACCCATAAACAATTTCAGAGAATTGAATGTTTTGGTAAGCTTTCACCAATTGCAATGACAATTTCATGGTACATGAAATATATTTTTCTTCTCACAGATTCTTAAGGTATTTTTTTTATTTTTGCTTAACTCAAATTGCTGGAATTTTCTATAATAAACATTTTTAATTTACTTCACTAATTAATTATTGGATGGAATCTTTGAACATAGAATGAAATTCGATGGAATTTTAAAAAATAAATATTGTACCTTTTTTCTAATTTTTTATTGAAAAAGGTAATATAAAATTTGACATGTTATGCTGGGAACATTTTATCATGATTTATGATGACATAATTTATTACACCAAAAAAAAAGTAGATTTTCTTGAGATGTTAAAAAGTAAGCATGTCTGCATATTAAACAAAACGTGTTAAAAAAAATAACTGGATTAGATCAGTTGAAATATTTGAGTCCGTGATATTTAAGAGTCAGCAGTGAATGGATAAATTTTGGTCAATATATATTCTTTATTATGGCGTGATATCGCATTTCCAATTAAAAATTTTCTACCTTTTCTTATCGTCTAATCATTTATGCGGACTGTATTTTGACTTACAAGGAACTAGAATGAATTTTTCATTATAAAATTTATAAGATCATAGAAATTATGTGGATGCAAGCGTGTGTAAATTATGGTCAATGCGGAAATGCTTGTTTTTTATAGAGAATGGTGATGGATGAGTCGTTCAATAAATAATTGAAATCATTCATTTTTAATTTCAGAACAAAATCACATTTACAGGAAAATTTGGGTTTTTGTTTTTAATCTTAATCGCTTATATCGTAACAGACAGGAGCCACAGAGACACAGAGAGAGAGAGAGAGAGGATAATTATTTAAGCAAAAGTGAAAACGTTCAAATTTTAGTACATTAAATTTTTAAATTTATAGAACAACACACATATTTTTTTCGAAGGATATTTCAAAGCAAATGATAGAATATAATGAAAGACAAGTTTAAAATTGAAACAGAAATTTTAATCTTAATAAGTTATAAAATTTGTTTTTGCGTTAAAAAAAATATTAAAAAGTGTAATAATATTTTACGCTTATGTTAATGTTCGCCGTGTAATAAATGTTCCACTAATAAATTAAAATAATATGGGGTTTATCAGTAGACAAGGATATTTTGGACGCGAATAATATTTATAAGAAATTTTCAACGTACCTAAATGAAAAATATAAAAAATATGTTTTTTGATTTTTTTTTGTTCTGTTGTGATGAGGGTTTTTTAAAGCACCTGGGGTATAATAATGATTTACCTGCATTTTGTTTTTGTGGTTGGTGTACTTTTTTTTATTGTTTTAATGTTTTGAATTTTATCAAGATTACATTCGTCTTATTTTTTCAAAATTTGGTTATTATTTTTTAAAAAGTATGTTGTGGTGTTGTTTTTTTAACACTTTTTAACAAGTTATAAGTATAAACAAAAAAAAAATTGAAGAAAATCTTGTCGTTGACTCAAAAGTTTTTAAATTTTTTTTTTAAGAGATTTTCTTTTTAAAGATTTAAGGTTTTGTAATTTGAAATGAATAATTGCTATAATTTGCAATTTTGATAGTAAACAGAAATTCTCTCTGGTAAACAGCAGACGATATTTAATTTTCTCCGAGTCATCTGAAATTTATTTTAATAACATATGAAAAAAATCATTTTTAATTTCTAGTCCTTTCAAAGGTAATATTCATATGGTTTGATAAAGGCCAATATCATAACCAAAATTTTAACTGAGCAGGATGATGAGGCAATTGCTTAAGGACTGAATATACAAAAACGACTAAAAAAATTCTTGCTAAATTGTCAACCCTTCTTGCTATCAGCATTTGAAATTTTAACATTATCTCGAATTGACACTATAATAAAACAATAAAATTTTCAATTCAAATAATAAAAATGTATGTTTGCTCTAATTTTGCATAGCAATCATAGATTTTTAAATTTCTAGTTTTTAATAATCTTTAAATAAATAAAAAAATTCTCTACAATAATTTTTTATTTGTACATTTATTTATTTTTAATTTATAAATTTAAATCAAATTTTCCATTATAACTTCTGTGATATCGAACATGAGTATTAGGTTTAAAATATTTACATAGCATAGAAAATAAATTAAAGTAGATTTAATTTTACTTTTTGTACTAACTAGATTGCATGTAAAAAGCGAAGTATTGTTATTAAATCAAATTTGAAATATGCCAGTATATTGACGCTACGGATGTAGGCTTCAATAAATCTTCTTGGCATGAATGTAAAAATTAGATATAATGTATTTAAATGTATATATTTTCAACTAGATCCTTGGTATTTAAACGTTTTTGAAATTTGTTTGAATAAAAAAAACAGAACGTTATCCTAATCTTGTCAGATAAAGCACAAGAACAATATCGAAAGTCTAAATTTTCTTGTATAATTGTGACCATATATCTTAAATAAATAATTTATGGTTCTTGTACAATTCTGTTTGTAAAATAAATGAAGACGAAAATGATTTGAATGTCGGGTGCCATACTGTTACTACCAATCAATTTCGTGTATTCCTGGACATTATAATGATCTATTGTCTACATTTTGAAGTATAGGTTGTATTACCATGTGTAGATTCCTTGTTAGGCCAAAAATATTTTGTAATTATATTTTAGGAAAAATGCACTGGTTTAACAGTGAGCATATCAATTTTATACTTTTTTAAAAACTAATACCTTTATATTTGTCCGAAAATATTTTCTTCATAAGTAAATTTATATTTTTAAATAATTATTATTCATTTATTTTTTGTTCGAAAATTGCATTTTAAATATTTATTGAGAAAATTTAAAATACTTTAAATCAGAGTATTATTGTTCCTCTTAAAGAGAAATAAAAATTTCATTAAATTATTGAATAAATTATTGAATCAATTTTATGAAGAAAAAAAATCCTAAAAAAATTTTCAAAATTGAGTTGAATTGTAATTTAAATCGAATTCATTTAAAAGCAAATTATTCTAAAAAGCAAAAATTATTTAAAATTACAATGAAAAAAAAATGTTCATTTAATACAAGCGCTGATAAAATGCAATTAGTTGAATTCTCGTCAATTGGTATCACCACTTCATACAACATCTTTGTTTAGGTACTTACTCATACATCAAGCGACGCCGTTTTTATACTAACAGAATTTTTGAAATTTCAGAGAAATAAGAACTTATTTCTTGAATTTTTCTTTATAAATGTATAGACAGAATTTCGCAATTCTTGACTATCCTCAATATTATAGGGGAATTAAATATTTCTAAAATATACAGAAAGATCTACTTCAGATAATTCTCACAATAGCGAATACAATTATTTCCAATCAAGTATAAGTTCTATATTTTTAAATGATTTTCATTATACAAGAGAATATTTACGATATATATGTATACTTGTACTTAATTTATT